GCTGATCACCACCACCAACTCCAACACACTTAAAATCTCTGCTCCAAACCCTAGCGGTAGGATTCACCAATGCTCCGCAAGAATGGCTACTTCAGCCTTGGGTAATGTCGAGAACATCGAATCTGGTTCTACCGTCATTATTGCGTCTCCACTGGCACAGTACGCGTCTTACGCTTGTACCATGTGCGGCGAGTCTTTTTCATCCTATCAAGCCCTCGGTGGCCACAAAACCAGGCACCGTCATAGGCCGCTGATCACCTCCAACAACTCTAACACCATTAAAGTCTCTGCTCCAAACCCTAGCGGTAGGATTCACCAATGCTTCAAATGCAACGAGGTTTTTAACACTGGCCAGGCGTTGGGCGGCCACATGCGGCGGCACTACGATGGAGTGATTGGCGGCGGCAAGAAAACCAATGTGATCACTTCCGAGGGCGGCGACTCTAGCGACTGCAACAGCAATGGGCGTACACCCCATGATTTCGATTTGAACCTCCCCGCCTCACCGGAAACTTGCTTGGGTTTGACTCTTTATTGTAGCGAGAATTTTTGAGCAGGAAAAAATTACTGCGTATGTATTTCGTATAGAAAAGTAATTTTAGGGTTCTTGTTGGTACAGGAATTGATCCATGTAATCAAACGAAATTTGATTTTGTATCAGTTTGTATACTTCTTGGTTTAATAAAAATTTAGTTTCGCATATTTCTTCAGTTAACAAAAATTTCCTTCTGCAATCCAATTTCTTGTCACAATATATGTTCATACTACTCTTTTTGTATTAGAATTGCAGTTTATATTTGAATTATTTATTTTTACATTTGCATATTTGGTTATTGGATGGATGTTCATTTGATTCATATATGTATTTGAAAGTATTTTTATATACGTTAATTTCTGTAAATACTGAAAATATTCAGATTCACAACATATATTTTAATTTTAATTTTTTTTTTTTTAAATTAAACTTCAACTTTACAAATAGGACAGATTTGTAAGCAGTGATTTTATTCGTAGCTCAATCATCAAATGAATTAAAATGAAATGTGTGCTGTGATTAAGTTTCTATCGTAGGTAAAAAATTTTAATCTAATTGTTATAAGAGGACAACAAAAACCTTGTTTAAAGCTATGAATTTACACAAATTTTATGGTTAAGATTTGTTTATTAAGCCCATGTTTGGTGGAAATTAAAATCTTAATTTACGTCAAATTAAAATCAGCAATTAATTTTAATCGTACATTTCATGGGATCTAAAACTTGTCAACCACATTTCTTTAACTTTTATTAAAATCTACTAAAAATCTGATTTTTATTCTAAGACTAGGATGGGCAATGCTGAAACAATTGCCCGCTTCTGACTGGTTGCCATGTTAGCGATCATGTTGTATTTTTTGAACTAAAAAAAAAAAAAAAAGATTTGAGGTGGCATTATAATTCTTGCCCACTATGGACGGGAGATCACTTCTGCCACGGGCAGGGGTACTTAATTGAGGTTTTTGATTTTACCATGAAGAACTCAGGTTGAAAGGTAAATGGATTTCTTTGGATTCTAGCACTTCATCCTGTTTGTATCAGAAAAATGCGTGTTTTATTGCAATAGACTTGGCTTGCCTAGACCACTATATTATATGGTTCTATGACTGGAAGCATTGAGTTCTGGTCTTCAGATGGTTTATATTATGTTTGGTCGTGAATAATTAACATGACTGTAGTGATTCGTGGGTGAAGGCTTGATCTTGAGCCCGAATTTCGTCTGATTTTAGGGGTGTTATGTCCGATTTTTTGTATGAAATTGAAGAGTGGGATGAGGACATGTTGGTAGTGTGGAAATCCGGTGGTTTATCCGGTGGCATACTGGATGAATTTAGAGTAGAAGGTGCCGATGTAGTGGATGAATTTGGTTGCAATTCCCATTCGTCAAGAAAAACAAAAAACCTGTTGAACCACGGGAAAACCAATTTCAGGATTCTGAGGAAAAGAGGATCACGTGCTGGGAATTGGGAAAATGTTTTGCGTGGAAAATATATCCTATCAAACAATAAAAAAGTTGAAAAATGGTTGGAAGTTTTCCATCTTCCATAGAATTGAAGGCCTATCAAACAGGACCTAATTGAAAAATATGAAATTGATAAAAAGAAAGAAAAATATATATTATAATTTAATAAAAAATAATGGCCAAGCGGGGGCTCAAAGAGTCTTTTGGATTCTCTAAACCTTTAAACAAAATTTTCTGCTACTCCAAAATTTTGTCACAAAGTGTGACGTCGTAGCAGTACTGCAGTAACAGGGGAAACTTGACCTTGAATAGAACTCATAGGATTGTCATAAAAGATAAGGACGTCCGGTCATCAAATGCGGTCGTGGGCCCAGCCCAACAAAACAAAGAAAAAAGATGAAGTTGACAGCCATGGGCTCCACCTATAGACGTTAAAAGTCACACTCTACATGGAGAAATTACACTGGAGAACCAAAATTTCAAGTTCATTTCACGTGAATCACCCCATTTTAATTTGATATCTTAGCTTACATTTCCATTTCAATCTGTCCAATTCCTCCTTATCTTAACAAAATAGAAAGAATCCATGACCTAGTCGAAGAATCTTGTAACCCAACTTATACTTTCGGCGATATTTTACAGTGCTAAAATCGTATAGTCAAATCTTACACATTTTTATTTCATGTGAATCACTCCACTTAAATTTGATATTTTAACTTATAATTTCATGTGAATCACCCCACTTTAATTTGATATTTTAACTTATAAAACACATGAAACAAAAAGGCGTAAGTTAAAATATTTCCATTTGATTGTGCCCAATTCCTCTGCATCACAAAAAAATAAAATAATAAATAAATAAAATTGATAGAATAGATAACCATGCCGACGAAACTTGTAACTCAACTTATATTTTTAGCAACATTTTATGGAGTAAAAACTTGTGTAGTCAAATCCCACGCTTTTTTTAAAAGGGGAGTACGACAAATGAGATTCAAGAGGTTATAATTGGAGCAAATCAATTTTTGGTCCACATTATTTTTTTTATTCTCATTCTTTTACTTATTTTCAACCACACATTTTTCAATAAAATAATATTTTCTATCACATCAATAATTTTTCCTACTTTTTCAACCACATATTTCACATCACATCAATAATAAAAATGCATTCTTACCTTCAAAATGTGCACCAAACGGGAGCGAATCTAACCTGCTTTCGACATTCTCATAAATTGTGACGTCTATATAAAAATTGTAATGACGGTATCAAATGTTGGTATTATGCTAGATGTTAAAAAATTCTAGAATAGTTATTCCTTCAACGGTGTCATAAATTTTTATGAACCATGTTGAAAGATTCCTAGGTAAATAGTGTACTAATACCAATTGTAGAAAATTATCATTGTTTAGAGCCATATGTGGAATTAAATTATTTAAAAGGAACAAGTCGCTTATTAATTATTTATAGGTGATTACGATAATTAATTCACATGTTTAAACAATCACAAACATTCAGGTTAAAGTAGTAAATAAATAAATAACACAAAATATGATCATGGAGGAAAATCCCAACTCAGGATAAAAACCTCCTCTCACACTTGCTGGTAAACAATCAACTAACAAAGTTGACTTACAATTGGTTGAGACGTTGATAAGTCTTAGTTTATCTAGGCACCTAACTTGTAAATTATCAAGGAACTTCTTTGGTCGTGCACGCCCGCACTTCTCAAAATTCTGAGCTACTCTTTCTCTCCGTATGAATCAACAAGAACGAACCTGGTCCTTGAGCGTCGGAACTCCAACCACCTATTTCCAAAACTTCAAAACTCTGAAAGCCAATTGACGAAGGTAGGATTTTATTTTGGTGTTTGATCGATTTTATGTTTTAATTTGTAGGCTTATATAAGAGAGATTTGAATATGTATTTGGCTTTCAAAGAATAAACTCTTGACTTTCAACAAGGCTCCACTAATGAAAGATCAATAAATCGGATGAACAATGAACAATTTAATCATGTGTTGAATCTAAAATCAATGAATGTGTATTTGGATTTTCAATGATATGATTTCTAAAGTAATATAACAATTCAACACACTTTAAAACGTTCCATGGCTTGTATATTTACAATAGAAGTGTTTTAGGGTGATTGTGATACAAAAATAACAGTTTTACACGAATTAGGATTTTTGTCTGTTGAACCATAGCTCGAGCGTTGTCGGAGCAGCCAGCAAGTGGTCCCTAAATAACGATCAATATTTTAGTCATAACTTTATTTCTCGACGTCCGATTGAGATATTAAAAGTTCATTGAAAAACTAATTCAAATGAATACAATTATTTTAAAGTACATTTTTCAAATTCAAGTGTTTTTATGTGAAAAATGTGTCGCAACTTGTAACTGAGAATTTGGAGCAAAATTTGTGCAATTCTTTGACATTTTTTTGACTTTTAATTGCATTTAATAGATCATATGTGATGTTCTTGAAATTTCATTACTTTAATTTTGTCCAAGTATTGCCAATTACAAATATAGACATAACACATGGCACAAGTTATCGGTTTTAGTCACACTCACATGTGTAATAGTCAAATTAAAATAAATTTTAAGTTGTGTGATCAAATTGAAGAGAAATATAAGTCGGAAGATCAAATTAAAAAAATAAAATTAAAGTTGAGTAACTAACAGAGAATACATGTATACTTTTGGTGACCTCCAGATAAATTCTCACTCTCCTTTCACAACCCACTCGCCGCAGTTTCTTAACACGTCATTCTACGTCTACCGAACCCCATAATTATCGTCTACGCTACTCCCTACAGAACCTTCAATTATCGTACCTCTTAATCAGAAGAAATACCCATTTTAAGCCGTTAGATCAGATATGGACCCCACGTAGGTCCTGCTTCGCGAATATAGGGAATCATCCGTGCTCTCCAGATTATAAGTACTCTTACCACTTTACCACTCCAAGGCTCCGTTTCCAATTCATCTGTGACGCGATAATGGACCAAAGCGGTGCCGTAAGCTTCCGCCATCGCCGGTCTCCATCCTCCGATAGATTTCTCGGCGTGTTCTCCCCTCCTTCTAAGGACACCGCCTTCACTTCCTCTTCCCCTGTCGCAGGCGGTGGCGGCGACGAGCTTAATGAAGACGATGTATTTTGGACCGGCGACTTCTCCGAGCCCCAGCGCGGCCGCTCCTCTACTCCAAATTATCACACGCGACAGACCTTTAGACAGCCGGAGAAGTTCGGCATCCTCGCGGCATTATCGGAGGATCAACGGAAACCGGACTCTCAAGTCATCCTCCTGAAACCCACACTGCCTTCCTCACCTTCCTCGTCAACAACATCGCTCTCACGCGCCATCCCTTCAATTCCTAAACCCCCGATTGAATACAAATACTCACAGTCCATGCCTTCCCGACGGTTCCAGCAATCGGCACCTGTGAATGTCCCGATGATGCCAATGAAGCCAAAGAACGGGCAGCTTGCCGACGTGGTCGATGATGACGTGGACGACGACGAGATATTGCCGCCGCACGAGATCGTTGCCCGTGGATCGTCAAAATCTCCAAAAACTACCTTCTCGGTGCTCGAAGGCGTGGGAAGAACGCTGAAGGGGAGAGATCTAAGGCAGGTCCGCAATGCCGTCTGGCGTCAAACAGGTTTTCTCGACTAGGAAATGTTGTGATTATTTATATTAATTTTCTATATTTTTGCTTTTGTTTTTTGGGCTTTTAGACTGAATTAAATTATTTTTGCGAACTTTCATTTTAAAACCTATTATCAATATGAAGTATTTACATTTACCATGTGATTGCTGCTTTTGCTTTCTCCCTTGATTTTCTTTTGCTTCTTTGAATGATATAAAGTGTACAGTTAATTATGTTATTAGTAGGATTGTGTTGGAAAATATTTTGTACCAGCTCGTCCACGAGTGGCAAATTAAGGAGTATCTCACTAGTTGAGTATTAATTAACTTAATTAAGTTCATTAAATTTTACATGAAAGCTTGAAATTGTAAATTGATACAGTACTGTTTATTTGATGCGAAAGCTGTTAATTGTGAATCATTCACCTACTTTTCAGATGCTATGCATTTTTTGAGCCTTTTCATTCCTATCATAAATAATCATCTCTAATCTGCTGAGTTTAAGTTACTTGCCTACATTTAATAAATGCCTTTTTGTTCATGGTTCTGGGGTGAAACGTGTATTTTTATGTTTACCTATAGAGCCAATATTAAGTTGGTAATTATTCGGGAGAAGCAGGCTAAGATATGAAAATTCACTTTCAGTGCTCCAGTTTCTAGCCTCCCTGTTTGATTGAATTTAGGTCTAGTCTGAAACATGGCACTCTTTTTAGCATTTGCCTAGTCGATTCTGTTCGATATTGAAATTGAATGAATCAAAGACGATAAATTAACGTTCTGAAATAATGCTTAGCATCTAAATTTAAGAACAATTAGTCTTGAACTGTGCCTTTCAGGTCGATTTGTGGTTTTTTTGTTTTGGTGAAGCCATTAAGGGAATGGTTGGAAGTATTCTTGCCAGCATGTTCTGACTTTCGGCTTGTTTCAATTTGGAATTGAGGTTCTAGTCATCACATAAAAAGATGTTCCCAGGATTTCATAGCTGCCAATAACCATTTGTCGTACTGCTTGTCATTAAGCAAGTATGCAATTCTATTAAATTAGTATATTGGCTAAATAGGAGGCTGAATGCTTTGTACTTGATGTTGATTTGTGATTGATTAGAACAACAGATTATAGTTATCTTACTAGTGATCCATATAATTTTATGGATTAATCTACTTGTACATTACCGTGTAAATAATGTGAGTGTGGTGGAGCCCACGACACTGTAGCGTAGGCCCCACCTCCACTCACATTATGTACACCCTTATGTACATGCTAATGTATAAGTAGCATTCCTCTAATTTTATTCCTAGCATTTCTTAGGTTCCTTCTGATGAACTTGAGACTGTACGAAATGCTACATGACTGTGAGTTATGAAAACAGAGGTGATGTATTGCAGTTACATTACTGATTTTAAGTGGTGATTTTTATGTGATACCTTGCCCTCAAATCTGCATAGACTCTATCAGATGAAATCAACCAACCCCGGAAGATGCAGCTTGGGTACAAAACTTGGGAGTAACCATCCATCCATATGAAATTTATAAATTCACAGTGGACTTTTGTCTATGTTGTAAGCCCCTCCAATAGAACATAGAGCATATCTTTGATTAAGAAGATTTTAGGAATGACAAGTTATCTAATGAGTGCTCTTAAGTCAATAATGTAATATAAGGTTAAAATTACAGAGACAATCATGGTAATAGCTGATTTTATATTGTTGCCAAATACACCTGCGCTGGGGTTTTTGGCACAAACCTTTACCTTTGCCTGTAGTTAAATGAGGGAGTACAAGGTCCAGGGAGAGGGTGGGGCAGAAGAAACTCAACTTTGTAATACAAAAGAGAAGAGAAATAGAAGAGCTTAAAGTGTCCATAAATAAAGGTAGAACTTAGAAGATAGTATCAAAGAGTCAAAGACCGCAAATGCTCAACTTTGTAATACAAAAGAGGAGAAATAGAAGAGCTTAAAGTGTCCATAAATAAGGTAGAACTTAGAAGATAGTATCAAAGAGTCATAGACCGCAAATCGGGGTGTGTTACCAATTACCGTCTCTAGTGTGGCCACGGTAAGCCATACACGAACTTTTGTTAAAAATTTGTGCCTCAACCTAATCCCCACTTTAGACCTTGCCATAATGGCACCCTAGTCTTAACTACTTGAAAGGCAAAGGGTGTTTGGCGTATGGCCGAGCTTCCAAGTCAATCATATTTACTGAGAATTTTAGAAGTTAATCATATTCAATAAGAATTTTAGACATGTTTAAGCTTATGTTTAAACTCGGTAATGGTAATTTATCTGTTGTAAGTTAGGACTTGCAAGGAATGAATTGACGTTTTTTTCCAACAACCTATTTTGTAGGTTTCTTCCCGTTTTCCATCTTCTTTGTCAGTCGCATCTAACTCGGCTACGATTTCGTCATCCTCGTTGTTTTACTCTTGTGCTCTACTGAAAGCCTCATCTACAATCCCGATCTTCTTAGGAAATTATGGACTGCCATAGTTGTTATAACTACTTCCTTTGTTTGAGTTTGAAATGAGTAATTGGGTATTTGATCGAGAAATTTTCGTAGTTGCTTTCTTACTCCAAATGAGGTTTCTACAAGAGGAGTGATTGAAGTTGAATCGCTCTCAACTCTTGAAAATGATATTAGATGTTCGAGCTTTTATAGGGGGTCATATATCTTGGCCTATGTGCAAATCTCGAGTCCACCAAATAATGTCTGTCAGGTGTTGGAGTTATTTCATGGACTATGTATCACACTCGCCAAAATACGACAGCCATGAGTACCATCCGTCGCTCTCGACATCACAAATTTGAAATACAAGATGAAGTTGCACTTTGTAATGACTTTGTGTTGGAGTTTCTTTTTGTCCTATGAAGTACTGTTGTTTGACACAGTTGCCTCGCTCTAACATGTGTTCCTTCAATGGTTTTGATACAATCCTATGGGCATTCATGTGAATCACGAAGACATTTCGAATGATCTGTCATACAAAATATCATAATTTTACCAAGCAAAAATAACGTAAATTATGTTACTACGGTCCTCAGGACCGAGGCGATGATTTTCTATACTTTGATTGTAATTGGGATTTGGTTCAATCATTCGATCGGCAAACATAATCATAACATGAGCATAATCTTGAAGTAAGGACTTGTCTGAAATGAATGTTCAAAAAGTGTTTGTAAGGTGTTTTTGATGGATATTATCGAGGGAATAATGTATTTTAAATAGTGATAAGATGGAAATATGTGATTAAAAAATAAGGAAAAGTTATTGATATGATGAAAAATATTATTTTATTGAAGAATGTGTAGTTGAAAATGAGTTTTGAAAAAATTGTAGTTATCCTTTGCCGTGTGATGGTACACAGAGAAACATACCCACCTTTTGTGCACATTTACAATGCTTAAACAGCATTAGTATTGCCGTGTGCTAGTACACAGAAACTGACCCACCTCTTGTACACATTTACACTGCTTAAACCGCATTAGTATCACAGTGTGTGCGTAAAATGAGTAAATATCGAGGGTACATTCTAAATTCTCGGAAAGCCGTTTGGTGATACACATGCAAAACTTAGAACATGAATAGGTGACCCCTTCGTGATGTGGGGACTAAATGAATATATCGCCTTGAGTTTCAGATATAATGGCTAACCATGCGCTTCAATGAATAAATCTTCATCACGATCATTTATCGAATCGGAGTTAGGTCGCATACTACAATCGAAGTTGAAGTCCGGGTGTGTGGGAAATAACGGTACAAAAAATTCTAGAAATGGGAAAACTATAGCTCCCAAACAGGCGCTATGTAGTATTGAGAATATGTTCCTTGTAATTAGACACCAACAATTAAAGGCAGGGAAATACAATCTAAGAAAATGTAAATGAAGAAAAGAGTAGTAGAATAAACAATCTGTTATTTGTTTGTGAAAGCAGGTTACGGTTACAGCCTGCATTTATAAGGTTTACAAAGTTGTTAACACAATGATGATTGATTTTGAAATAAACTGATGTATCTTGTATTTTCAAAGTAAAGCAGGGAATATCCTTGCCAATATATGCAAATTGTTACCTTTTTGTGACATATACATGTCATTGTCATATCTTTAATGACAGTCATTAAAAGCACACAGAGCTCTGTCTGAAGTTTAAATCCCCTGTTCCTAGCCTGTTGCGCAGCATTAATCAAACATCAAAGAAAATACTAGTACAATTTACAAGTTGACAATCCTCCATTTCTTGATATATTTTTTAAGACCTTGTTTGTTTTTAATTAAAATCAAATTTTAATCTAAATTAAAGTTAAATAATCAATATTAACCATATCTTTCAAGTGTCCTACATCTTTTAAACCACACATTTCAAAATCTTCTATCACATTTAACCATATCTTTCATGGGTTCCGGAGCTTTTCAACCACATATTTTAAAAACTTATATCGCAATCTACTAAAAATCAAATTTTAATTCCCATCAAACACCCTCTAAAAGAATATAAAAACATAAAGGAAGTAGTTGACACTTACTATTTGCAATTAATTTCTTAAGCTCCTAGAGGCTCAAAATCTTCTGATATTATACCCGTAGCTTTTTCTTGAATTAGTAATTTTCCATTTAGACGCATTAATATATTTGCTATAGGTCTTGATTAGCAGATGATGTACAATCACTCATGATATCGAATATTGTCTTTTGTTACACTTTCACCGTGATAAAGGATCAAAATCTTGTGGTTCATTTGGGTCCATACAGTACTTAAAATATCTAATAACTCAATCTAAGCCCCCTGTTTAAGCCACATCAAAATCTGCGTTCTCATTATTCTACTCGTTTTCACTTACACATTCTTCAATAAAAAAATATTTTTCATCATATCAATAACGTTTTCGTCTTTTTCAACCACACATTCTCCATCAATATACTATTCAAAAATATATTCTTCCAAAATAACGTGGCTCAAACATATCCTAAAACACTACAAAAGACTATAACTACACGAGGAAGTCCCTGTATTGAAATTTTGAAAACTCCCATATTTTATATGGGTAAGCCATATTTTCTTTGGAGTTTGGGAAAGAATGCTCTGACATTTTCTTGCAGCATCATTTGACATAAGAGATTTTGCAAAATTTCATGTCGGATTGGGATTTCAAAAGTCATTTTCTTGTGAAATTCCTATAAAATAGCTTCGGTGGGGAATCCATAACCGCGGCTAGAGGGAATAACATTGGAAAATCTTACATTTTTTTTTTTTTAAATTTTAACTCCATGCTTTTTAATACTTGGTCAAAAATTGAAAAGTTTTATAATGTCGTGAAAAACTTTCAAGATTTTTTTTTAACAGAAAATGCAATTTCATCATCTAAATCAAACAAAGGATCGTATCCCTATCATTTTAATTAGTAATAAATTTATGTGATTTTTACAAGAATGCTTGATTACAAGCTGGTGTACTAACAAGTTGTCATTATCTAAATTAAACTAAGAATCATAAGATTATCTACCATTGTGATAAGTAGTAAATTAATTCAAAATGATAGAGATTAAGAAAAATATAAGAGACCTGAAGAGAAATTTAAAGAAGCAGCGCCTCTGTTTGGTACACATTTTTGCTCTAAGAATGTATTTTTTTAGTTGATGTGATGAGGAATACGTGACTGAAAAAGAAGGAAAAGTTATTGATGTGATAAAAATATCATTTTATTGAAGAACGTGTTGTTAAAATGAGTTGAAAAATGAGAATGAAAAAAATAATATGGCTTAAACATGGGCGTAGTGTACACAATACGATAAATATCAACAGTTTAAGATTGAGAGATTTGTATTCTCTCTGTACTTTTAGTCAAATCTCCCTCAATTTTCAGCAATCTTTGAAAATTATTGAGAAAGTAAATTCCTCATTATATTTAGAAAATAAGTGTTTTTGATTATTTGAATTTGTTATTTTTCCCAACTTGTGGTTGATTGATCTCAAGATGTTTAATTGTTGGTTGGTGTCCAAAAGATGTAATGAGATAGAAAATAATGATCAACCACACTTTTCGTGAAGTCGGGCTTTAGCATAAGTATTTATAATATGGACGTATTGGGTAACATAGATAGATAGATTTCTTGAAAATTACGAACTAGATTTCTTGAAAAACATCGTCGCTCGAGCACCAGGCGAGCTACAAACAGGTGATAGGTGGGCGACAGTGATTATGTTTTGGATGCTCGAGCATCAGCTTGACGGCAAGCTAGCATAATTCTGACGACTCTTTCTCCATATTCCATACTCGAACCCAAAGATTTCTAATTCATCTATAAAATACCCCAAAAGACTCATTGACTTTTACAATTTTTATATAATAATTCTTTTATTTAAAAAATTACCAATACACCTTAATTCCTAACAAAGTTGTTCAACCTAGTGCAGTGAAACTTTTATGTGACGATGAGATATCTATCAACAATTCATGCAATCAAGTTCGACATGATCATACCATACATGTTTGTGTGGAGATTTACTTCAGCAGGGAAAAGACAGAAAATAGACATGTATTCCTTTTGTTACTATCAATTTAGCATTAACAGAGGAACTTTGTGTTGTGAATGTTAAGTTGCCCTTTTTGTTAAATTCTTGTTGTCTGATATTGTTTTAATGCGTGATCCATTAAAACATATTTGTGATTTGTATTGCTTTCGAGAGAGTTGATATAAATAAACACATGTAATAAATAACAGAGGGTCCTATAATAGATGGAGATATCATTATGTCTTATAAAATTGCTATGTAATTTATTTATTTTTGATTTTATGTATGTTTATACGTTCGCAATTTAATTAGACATGATTAAGAGCATACATAGGTATAGAATTGTTTGATCTCGAGAGAGTAATATATGATCACAACCTAGGAAGGGTTGGCAAGAACAAATAATTGATAATTAATTCATGTATCACGATGGCAAATTCGTGGTCCAAGTGTTCTACACGATTGAATTTTACTCTACAAATCCTCTTAAGTGCTCAATTTAGATAATTTAGGTAGTAATTTAGGAAATGGATCTTTAAAATCATCAACTTAATCGTGTGCGCGTTCGTGTTAATTGAGATTTTAATAAGTCAATAATCAAACTTCATAGGACGATACTCACTTATCACTTTATTACAATATGTTCAATTACCATTCTTTTTCTTTTTTGTGTTGTGCTAAAATGCCTAGTCCAATGGCAAAACATGCTATTTAGCCCCAGTTCGACAACTATTATTTGGGTAAAAATGGAGTTTTGAATATTATTTTTGTAGAGAATATGTGATTAAAAAATAGATTTTTTTTTTTTTGAATTCACGTACACAATATTTTATTGTATAAATATATAGTTGAAAATGAATATGTAGAAAAAGAGTTTTGA